TGCAGATGACATGATACTATGTATAGAAAATCCTAAAGACTCCACACAAAAACTATGAGAACTGATAAATGCATTCAGCAAGGTAGCAAGATACAAGATTAACATACAGAAATCTGTTGCATTTCTTTACACTAACAATGAAATATCAGAAAAGGAAAGTAAAAAAAAAAATCCCTTTAAAATCACATCAGAGAGCAATCTGAGAGGCTGTCATCCCAGGCTCAAAGGGGTTTGAGCCCTCAGAAATGTCTGCCGGATAAAACATAACTCTCAAAAAATAAATAAGTAAAATAAAATAAAATCGCATCAACAAACAAACAACTTAGTAATAAACCTGACCAAGGAGGTGAAAAACTTATACACTGAGAAATATAAAGCATTGATAACAGAAATTGAAGATGATTTAAAGAAATGGAAAGATATCCCATGCTCTTGGATTGGAAAAATTAATACTATTAAAATGACCATACTACCCAAAGCAAACTACAGATTTTAAGCAATACCTGTCAAATTACCCAGGACATTTTTCACAGAATAGAACAAATACCCCTAAAATTTATACAGAATCACAAAAGGCCCAGAATTGCCAAAACAATCCTGAGGAAAAAGAACAAAGCTGGAGGCATAACCCTCCTGGACTTCAGACAATACTACAGAGCTACAGTAATCAAAACAGCATGGTATGGTTTTTGCACAAAAACAGACATATGGATCAATAGAACAGAACAGAGAGTCCAAAAATAAACCCACACACCTACAGTCAATTAATCTTCAACAAAGGAGGCAAGAATATATAATGGAGAAAAGGCAATCTCTTAGGCACATGGTGTTGGGAAAGCTGGACAGCCACATGTAAATCAATGAATTTAGAATACTCCCTCACACCATACACAGAAATAAACTCAAAATGGCTTAAAGACTTAAACATAAGACAGGACACCATAAATCTCCTAGAAGGGAACATAGGCAAAACATTCTCTGACATAAGTTGTTTTCCTACGTCAGTCTCCCACGGCAATAGAAATAAAAGCAAAAATAAACAAATGGAACCTAATCAAAGTTATAAGGTTTTGTACAGCAAAAAGATAGCCTATAGACTGGGAGAAAATACTTTCAAATAATGCAACTGATAAGGGCTTAATTTCCAGAATATACAAATAGTTCATACAACTCAATAACAAAAAAATAAACAACCCAATCAGAAAAATGGGCAAAAGACCTAAATAGACATTTCTCCAACAAGGACATACAGATGGCCAACAGGCATGTGAAAAGATGCTCAACATCACTAATTATCAGAGAAATGCAAATCAGAACTACAATGAGGTATCACTTTACACTGGTCAGAATGGCCCTCATTAAAAAGTCCACAAACAATAAATGCTAGAAAGGGTGTGGCGAAAAGGGAGCCCTCCTACACTGTTGGTGGGAATGTAATTTGGTGCAGCCACTATGGAAAACAGTAGGAAGGTTCCTTAAAAAACTAAAAGTAGAGCTACCATATGATCCAGCAATTCTACTCCTGGGCACATATCCAGAAAAAACTCTAATTTGAAAAGATACATACACCCCAATGTTCCTAACAGCACTGTTCACAATAGCCAAGACATGGGAGCAAACTAAATAATTGGATAAAAAAGTTGTGGTATATGGATATATATATATAGGAATACTACTCAGCCATAAAAAATGAAATGATGCCATTTGTAGCAACATGGATGGACCTAGAGATTATCATACTAAGTGAAGTAAGTCAGATAAAGACAAACATCATATGATGTCACTTATATGTGGATACAAACGAACTTATTTACAAAACAGAAACAGATTCACAGATGTAGAAAACAGACTTATGGTTACCAAAGGGGAAGGGAGTAAGAGATAAATTAGGAGTTTGGGACTAGCAGGTACAAACTACTGTATGTAATATAAACAAGGTCCTACCGTATAGCACAGGGAACCATATTCAATATCTTGTAATAACCTATAATGAAAAAGGATCTTAAAAAGAATAGGTATGTATGTATTTATGTATAACAGAATCACTATATTGTACACCAGAAACTAACACAAAATTGTAAATCAACTATATTTCAATCGAAAAAAAAAGGTCAGGGCCTTTGCTTGCAATGTCTCCTGGAAAACAGACTCAGGCAGAGATTTATGCAGGAGACATTACTGCCTCAGTTACAATAATAGTGAAAACTGAGAACAACCAAACACTCAAGTGGGAATCTTTACAAATGTTGAAAACTTTGTTTGTGAAGTGTTTAAAGACAAAAGAAAACACCAAATATGACAGTCAAGGTGTGGATTTACATGTATACAATGTAGGAGAACCCACTACTCAGGGGCCTGGTGTTGCTGGGTTTGGGGTCATTTCTCCATAGACTCCACCCTGGATTACTGTCCTGAACTTTGCAAAGTGTCTACAAAACACATGTCTTGATTTTTTTTTAATAAAAAACATTTTTTAAAGCAAACACAGACACCCACGCCCCTCCTCCTGTTGTGAACATCAAATGCACTAACCTCCTGAAGGCTCCTTAGAAAGCAGCATTAGGATAGAGGGCTGGAGACTGGAGGCCCCTGGGAGGGGGGACCCCTTTCAGGGGAGGCTGACCCCTCCTTGTCCACCTCTTTCCTGGCCTCTGCTCCTGGTTCCTCCACAGGGAACCTCCCTTCTGCTATTTGCTGGATGACAACAAGGCCAAGTCTTTGCCCTCTCTGGGCCTCAGTTTCCTCATCTGTAAAGTGGAGGTGGGAGAGTGAGGATTCTCTAAGTTCCCTTCCAGTCCTCCTCTGGGGGCCACAGGCCAGGAGGGGAACTTTGTATCCAACCCTCCACTTTTCAGAAAAGGAAACTGAGACTGGACCAGGGATTGAGTGGGGATACAGTGGTGCCAGAGATTTGCATGTCTGGGCCCCAGGGGGTTTGTTTCACCTCCAGGGCCCACCCCTTGGCTGTAGTGCAAAAGGTTGGGTGGGAGATAGGAGTGGTCAGGAACAGCTCAGATTGCCCCCACCCTGAGATGGAAGGAAGTGGAGAGCTGGGTCCATTCTGGGTCTGCCGCCCATCCTCCTGCCTACTGGCCACCCCCTTACCTCACCCCAGCCACCTAGCAGCCCAGGCAGGGGTATCTGAGATGGGTTCAGGAGGGAGGAGAAGAGACGTAGATGTGGGTGTCCAGGTGCTGGGGGCTCCAAATGCTGCTCACCACTGACTGTCTTTGAGCTGGGAAAGGGGTGGGCAGGAAGGGTGGTGTCTGCTGGGCAGCTCTGATGAGCAGGTCAAGGAGAGGTGGGCAGAAAGCATCTGATGCATGGAACAGAACATAGTCAAGGACTTATAAGTAGGACAAATGGTATCAGAACTCCATCTTCTGACTCCCAGTCCAGTGCCCCTTCCAAAGGTGCTAAGCTGTGACAAGTTCCAAGGACACTGACCAGGGTGGAGTCCAGGTCAGGAGGTTGTAACCCTGAGTAGGAGGGTCGGCAGGAGAGTCGGTGGGTGACTGAGTGCACAATGTGGTCCAGAAGTGGAAGAGATGGTCTCAGCTCCAGGCCCCAGAGCAAAGGGCACCACTGTCAGAGGAACAGTTCTACTGAGATGATAGGTGACTGCAGGGGCCAGCACAGAATGGCCAAGTGATCCAGGCACTTTAAGATGACAGGCCCCAGAGAGAAGGGGGCTGAAGGGACATCAGGTCCAGCTGGTTCAAGGCTGCAGGCCTGCCCTGGCCTCTGAACAAAGGAGCCTCCTGGAGATCCTGGGCCCTACCCTTGTACAGTGTGCCCTGGAGACAGCTGGGACTCCACGTGGCCTCCGACAGAGATGCCTGCCACTGTGCCTTCAGTGTGAATTTGTAGTCCAGCCCCAGAGGCTGTAGACTTCCTCCCAAGTGTGACACTGGGGCTCTGAAAGCTGCCCCCAGGCTGAAAATGGCATCACAGGTCCTAGCAGATTGGGCCAAGCTCAGGGTTGACCTTAGGGTACAGATATCTGAGAATCAGCATAATCCAGGCTATTTCTTAAAATAAATCATCTTGTAATAAGTCCCAAAGCAAACCAGTCGGTTGTTTACTCATTGCTGCAATTTACATCAGTTTAAAAGTGGGATGGCTCTGAGAGCAAGTATTAAAGAAAGGCAACACCCAGGTACAAATTAAGTATCCTCCCACTTGATCCTTTTCCTAGATTCATTCTGACTTATGGTGGCTTCCCCATGCTTAAAGAAAAACTCCTACTCAGTGTCCCAGCCACTCAAAAGCACAGAGCTCAGCCACAACCTTTGAGGGCTGCCAAAGATGGCATGATTTGACGCCAAATGCTAACATTCCACACAATGCCAGGAAGGCTGAACTCGGTGGTCTGTGGTGCCTGTGGTTCTGTAGGGTTAGCCCGGGAGCAGCCTGGCTCCCAGAAAAGGGGCAGGTGGGTGCTGGGGTGAAGAACCGAATCCAACCTCCAAGCTCCTGGCTGACGGCCCACAGGGAAGGCAGGGGCCATGTTCTTCCCACCTCCGCTGCTACTGTTGCTCAGGGCCGGCCGTCTTGGTGGTCACCAGCTCAGTGGAACCCAGCTCTGTGGCTGGCACAGGGATGCTGTGGGCAGGTGGGGTAGTGGCTGGGTCTTCACTGGGTGGAAGCCAGATGGGAGCTGTGACATCCAGGGTTCCAGGGGAGAGGATGGTGACATTGTCCAGGGGCTCTGGTTAGGGGAAATGCAGGGTCAGGACTGGGTCACAGACTTCCCGCATCTCTGTTCTGGAAGCCCCCTGGAGGGACAGCCCTCTAACTTATGAGAGAGAAGTCAGTTGAAGCCCCACTGCAAGGATGGGGGGTTGGGAGGCACGTGATGGGCCCTCAGAACAGGAAGCTCTGAGAGGTCCGGTAAAATGGCAGTGCTGACAGAGGGAGAGGAGCTGTGGGAGCCAGTCTGGCCGTCCCAGAGAGAGGGTAGGACAGACCCCCTCCCTCCGCCAGGCTCCCCAGCCTCCGATCTCTTCCTCACACGGGTCTGGGAGGCCAGAGCTGTGGCCCTCACCTGGACTGGTGTCTGGGGGGGGGGGGGGACGACCTCCCGGCTCAGCCTCAGCGCCCAGGAGTGCGCTCTTTGCCCCCTCTGCCTGCGTCACTCCCAGGGCCCTGCCTCCCCTTCAGAGGTCCCCACGCCCCTAAGGGCAGTGTGCCTCAAGGGCCACGTCTCCCCTCCGACGGCCCCCAGCCCCACACGCCCTGACCCCCTCCGTTGCAGTGCCTCTCGGCCCCCCTAGACGCCGAACTTACCGTCGCCGCCCGGGGCTTCTGGGGTCTCCGGAGCAGCCGCGGCGCGGAGCCGCCGCCTTCGGTGCCTCCAGCTCACCAGGCCCACCAGGACCAGGGCCAGCGCCAGGCCCA